AGATAGAAAGGAACGAAATCCACAGATTTTAACACAGCAGGTTTCCACTCCCATGTTTTAAAACACCACTGCTGTTATGAGATGTGGTGCAATGGAAATATGAAATGCTTTCTAAGAAGTTGTCCCTTCATCGTCACAGACGCTTGCCAAATATCACTCTGAAAGTCGAACAGTTTCACTTGGGGCACTGTGATGTGTGAGTCAGTTTTTTAAAAGCACCTCATGTTTATGAAAAGAAACCTTGTTAAAATGTTTCAATGACTCACTTTCCTGCACATTTAATTAGCCCTCGAATTCCACCCATACCTAAGCTGTGTTTCTCCCCTCACCTCTTCTTTTAAAGCATTAGTGTCAATACTACTAGTCTGCACAAAGGGAGATTATTTTTTAAAATAACAAATAACTGAAGTCGGTGATATTTTTACCACCCTGATGACAATTATTCTATTCAGTGGCCAATGCATTAGTCTGACAAATTGAAAAAGAAAAAGAAAAAGAGATGAGAAATTACCAGCCCATAATCTATCCAAGCTATAACTAAATCAGCATCCCATGTGAGACAAAATGAGGTAGAGCCATCATCCTTTCCATAGCTTGCCTGTAGAAAACACCTTCAATTCCTCTTGCTACACTAATTTGATTCTATGCTTTGTTGTTGCCATATAAAAGAGCACAAAACTGATCTCCTATACCCTGATCCATTCTTCCCCTCCCCAATTTAAATAGTTATGGGCTTCCCAGTCTGAAAACACTTCCTTGACACTTCCATGCTGCTTAAAAGCTGTTTCCCACATCTAAAGAGGCCACCGCAAGGCTACTGCTCCTGTGCAAGATTGTTTTGCCAGCGTCAGATAAAAGAGCCTTTTGCACTACCAGCACAGAGTGTCAGAACCTGAGTTTTTCGAGCTCAGTTTCTAGTTCACTGTTTTTGGAGTACTGTACACTGTCACTGAGTCCAAAGTATTATAGCATTGTCACTGTGTATTAATTGTGACAGACCTGGGACACTCCTTAGACATATATAAACACATTTACAGGGCTGCCCTACCTATGAAATGGGGAGAAGCAGAAGGTCCCACAAGGTTCCACCCTCATGCCAGCTGCCTTGCCACCTCCATCAATGGCAGAGCATCGATACTGATTTCCAGTGAGATCTCATGGAGCATGAGAGATTGCTTGGATTTCTCTCTCTAGAAATCAATGCTGATCAATGCCAGCAGCAGAGACAGTGCTGGTGGAGGCGGGCAGTGTGGAGACAGTGCTGAAGGAGGTGGGTGACCCAGCGGGGGGGGGGGGGGGCGAGTAGGCAGCATGGCAGAGCAGCACTTTCTGTTTTGCCTCAAGTGGCAAAACAGCACCGCCCTTGCAACATTTGTAAATTTAAAACCCTTTTAAAAAACCCTAAAAAGGACATGTGAGCTTCCAGGCAAAGATGTCAGTCGAGGGATGGAGAATATTGATTATTAGTGTGTTTGGAAAGGAAATTTGTCATTTGAAGCCCCTAAGAGTTTATTCTGTAGAAAGTATCCTGTATAAGCACTACATAGGGATGTTTTCCTTCCTTACTGTCAAACCTCAAAGAGCCTCAAACCTGTGCCCTCCAGTGTCATATAGCACAAGGCTTCAGGAGGACAGACAAAAAAATGTCTCTTTTCCTTTCTCCCTTCCTGAAACTCCCTCCCCTCCCTTTTAAGAGGTCTTAAAAACAAAGTTCTTGTTTAAGATTGGTTGGAATCTTGAAAATGAGCACTCCTCTTCTTAGGGGTTGGGCATACAATGCCACGTGTTATTACAGGTTCTGCTTGTTCCATATGGTTGGGATCACATTTCCTGTTTTTCACAACATGTCAAAATATACTTCTGTCATTGTAACTTAACCCCTTAACGGCATCCCCACATTGCATTATGATGTGGTGCTTGAACAACAACAAACTACAAACAAACAGCAATTGAAGCTGCCTAAATTGTGAAGTGGTAACAAGCCTTTGATGTTCACTTGGAAAGAAATGGTAAAGTTGAAAAAGTTTCAAGCAATGAATAGTGCCATTTGATAACATCTACGTTGTGTGCAACCAAAAAGCCATCTTCTGAAGAGGACACATCATATTGTGGTAGTTTCCAGCAACCGTAAATTAGCTTTGGGAAGAAACTGCAACTGCTTTAGCTTTACATACAGCAGGTGCAACTGATTCTTAAACTTGACCCATGCCATTCATGTTGCTCAGGTTACAGGACGTGATATGAGTCATGATGGGCAGAGCTGCGGTGACCTTATGTCACGTTAAGCAGTTTTATCTCAGTGACTTCAACAGAACTGATAAGTGATTAACAAAGAATATTTGATCTCTGGAAAGAATCTGTATTCAGAACTTTAACAAAACCTAATTAGGCTGCTTAGGATGCAGGAGAAAACCATAACAACATATATTTAGAGCACTGAAAACAGCTCACAGTAAAGTAGCTGCAGAGACAACAAGCTGCCCCGATTGGGAGTGCATTGTGAATTAGTTATGGGTGTGCTTTTATCTCTCGACCGCACATGATGAGCAATCGGTTTTTCCATTGTAAGAGGAAATATAATACCCACTTTTCCCCACCAGGTCACCTTATTCAGAAAGCAAGAGAAACACAGTAGCAGACTTGCATTCTCTCAGCTATCTCAACAGCACTGTGATCTTTGAGGAGACTTGCAAAAACTTGTGTCCTCAATCTGCAGAAACAAAGCTTCTGAATTTTCCAGTTCTACCAGTTAAGAAGACTGAAAACATATAAACTAAGCATAGTAGACCCCCTTCTCTGATGCTGGGAAACATTTATTTTTGCTAGGCTTCTCTTAGGCAGAATGTCATGAATGGCAAACTTGATATCAGGGCCATAATCTGATTTCAGAGAACCTTGAAGTTTAAATGGAAATTAGGAACCAAAGGTAAGCAGGAAAGTTTTTTTCATTTTGAAAACTCACATTTATGAAATAGAGAGAACTGTTTGTCTGTGCTTTTTAAGTCATTCAAGTGATACCTCAGAAACAGGCACACAAACTCTAGAGGGCTAACATGTCTTCTGCCCACATCAAGTTGTCCTGACAGAATGGAACCTGTTCTACAACTCTTTCTAACATGTCTTCGCAATTATTCCTAAATTCAGTTCAACATACAACTTTCTTCCAACCATTATTAAAATAAATACTGTAGAGTTGCAATCTGATGCACACTTATCTTGGAGTAAGCCACAATGAACACAGCAGGACTTGATTAAATGTGCACAGGATAGCACTGAATTCTTTCCTAATACTGTTTAACACCCCCCTAAACTGTTTATGTCAGTGGGAATAAGTTTCACTAAATCAGACTATGCTATACATCTTTTATAGCATTTCAAGGTTGCAACTGGTAGCTCTAGTTTATATTTGTTTATATTACATCAGAGAAGCAGATAGAAAAGGTCTAGTAACATGGTTGCCAAGTTTCATCAAGGGGGTCCTTTGTTCAAAGTCCACTTCCACCTGTGTAACAGACTGTTGAGAGGCACACATGCTACAAGATACAAGACTCGAATATTCACCCATCAATTAGCCCTAGGTTTTCCTCTCTAATTTCTGAAAGCTGTATTGACATGACACTGCAACGTGCTTATTTTTCTGATTGAACATGCAGCTCAAAGGCTTGCTTCAAAAATGTTAAACTCTGGTTAATTAGAAACCTATAACCTACGTCTTGGCCCTGTTCTGTATGGGAACCAAAGCAGCTCTGTAAAGTTACTTTCACAAATAATGCTCATTTCCCCCCTGGAATGCATCATTTGTTAATGTGGCTCAGAAAGCTGACTAGATTATAAAGTTTCAAACTGATGTACGTTCTTACCCATGCATTTTTTATTCTTGAGTTACAGATGCAGGAAGTGTACAGACCTTTACATCATCTGAGAACTTACTGCAAGCATGTCTGCTCTGAAGTAAGCTCTCGGTGGTCACTTTCTGGTGTGTTTAGGACTGCAGCCAAAAGCAGCTTTGAGTGTTTTCAATGTACATTTTAGGCAACGTAAGCATCACATCCATATTACTGCTGAGCTTTTTTCTTTTAAGGTCATGTGCGAAAAGGCCCTTTGAGTGCTTCTTACACCATCTTCACATTTGTGTACATTGTCAGGGTTGGGTAAAACAGCCATTTTAAAATTGAACAACCAGTCCAGCCACGGTTGGTTCTACTCACCCATTTAAGTAAATATAAAATATAAACATCATAAAAGAATCCACCCTAGGACTCTGCCCGGTGCTGTTCATATATATGTATATGTATATGTATATGTATATGTATATGTATATGTATATGTATATGTATATGTATATGTATATGTATATGTATATATCTACTGTATCTATATATATGAGGTTCTGTAGCCACATGCATGACCAATAGCCCCATAAAGTGCCAGGGACGCCTGAACTTTTAAACCACGGGAGGGGGCAGAGTGGACAGCCTGTGGTTCCTTGGTGATGGTGGTTGGGCACTTTTCATTCTCTATTATGATTCTTATCGCTTCGACGACTTCGCCCAGACATGGTCCAGAGATCGGCTTCTGGAGCTCTCGGGAGGCTTGGCGCAGACGAAGCCTCGCTCCCTTCTGCAGCGCCCTGGACCCGGCGGGAGTCCCGCACGCAGAGCGCGAATGCAATGCGGCGGGATGGAAAGGGCGGCAAGCGGGGCTTCGGAGAGCCTCTGGAGGAGGACGCGCGCGGAGGGAGAGGAGGAGGGAGGTGTGCGGAGAGAAGGGGCTGGAAACCGGCCTCGGCCCTGGGGGGAAGCCATTGGCCCCTCAGGGTGGCCTCTCGGAGGGCGAGGGAGAGGCACTCGCTGCTCGGTTCCGGGGTTCACTGACTCCCTGTGAGGCCCCCGACTGGAGCTGTGAGGGAGAAAGAGGAGCGGGGGGGGGCGGAGGCGGGAGACGCGCGGCGAGGCCTGGTGCCGCCGGGCCCGCGTGGCGCCCGGCGCCCTCCTCCTTACCCGTGGTGGAGAGGACGGTGCTGGCGAAGAAGAGGGCCGAGGTGAAGTCCCAGTTCCAGTTGCCGGAAGCGTTGCTCAGCACCGACACGCCGTAGTTGCTGGCCTCCAGGACTCGCGCCAGGAAGCTCTCGAGCTGCTGCTCGGAGAGGCACTCGTGCTCCTCCACGAAGCGCCGCTTCAGCTTGCGCAGCTCCTGGCGCAGCAGGTCCTCGTAGGGCAGCTCCACCGACGAGAAGACCACGGCGCCGAAGACCAGGTAGAGCGCGTAGCCCAGCACCAGCAAGCCGAAGCACCAGGCCGAGCGGTGCCTCTCCACCAGCCGCACGCACGAGCTGCCGGCCAGCGACTGCAGCATCTTCCCCCGCCAGCGCCTCGCGCTCGCACCCGGCGCCAGCCCGCCGCCGCCGCCGCCTGCCCTCAGCACTCGCGAGGCTCCGGTCCCTGAGGGAGGGAAGGAAGGCGCGGGAAGCTCGGCGCCCTTTTGACGCGCGCGGCGGAGAGGGAGCGGGACGCCCGGGGCGGGCGACGGGGTGGGGAATGAGCACCGGCTCGGCCCCTACGCGCGTCCCCTGCCTGGAGGCTCAAGCTCCGCCACTCATTCACACGAGCCCTTCTCCGGGCGTCTGGCCGCGGGGTTTCGCTTCGTTCTTTTCCTGTTTCCTCCTTTCGGTGACTTTCCGTTTCAAAAGCCCAGATGATGTGGCGCTCACGTGGTTTCCCGGCTCAGGTAACCGGGAACGGGTCGCGCGTCAGCTGCTGAACTGGTTCCAGCTGGGCAGCTCACTAAAGTGAGTGGGGAGGAGAGGGAAAAAAGGAAACACGCATACCTATAGATTCTTTCTCTCTCTCAAAATAAATAACACATCTGGATATCTGGAATGGCCCACACTCTCGCGCACCTACCCGTATTCAATCTCTTTCTCTTTCTGCAAGCAAAGGGCACACCAGGAATGACCATGGGGAGCGGGGAGAGATGGTAAAGTTCATTTTCATTGTTATTCCACCATAAGCGTTCATTTGTTCTGCCATTTCATCCCGTGGTTTTGCTGTTCTGAATATAGACCTCACTGCTGGGCTCTGCTCAGTGCCATTGCTTTTCAAGGACTGGTACTGGCAGTAGCTACTCCATCTCTTTGCAGCAGGAAGACAGGACTGGTGGCAGCACAGTCCCTCATAGAATCATAGAACTGTTGAGTTGGAAGGGACCGTGAGCGTCATCTAGTCCAACCTCCTGCAATGTCATGGAGAAGACCTCTCTGGAACCAGAAGCTTGTGGCAGCTACCACAAGGCAGTGGTGGAGCAAGGCAGGAGTGGTCCGCCCCAGGTGTCATCCTTGAGGGGGGTGACATCACCAAAGGCAGCGCCCCTGGGACGCGCACCGCAACCAGCACACCCCCCTGGGACGTGCATCACCGCCCCCCCCCGTGGGTGGCTAGCCCCGCCCCAGTGGGCCGCTCCATGTGCCGGAGCAGCTAGCTCCACCTTTGCCACAAGGTGCTTGAGAAGGAGGTAGTCAGCTTCAGGCATGCTTGTTGTTGTTGTTGTTTAGTCGTGTCCGACTCTTCGTGACCCCATGGACCAGAGCACGCCAGGCACTCCTGTCTTCCACTGCCTCCTGCAGTTTGGTCAAACTCATGTTGGTAGCTTCGAGAACACTGTCCACATTCAGTTATTCAGACCCATTTCAATCTGGCACCAGGCCTGGGGTTGGCCTTGAAACAGTTTCTTTGGTCACCCTGCTTGATTATATCTGCATTGAGAGAAAGGCAAGTGGAGTGCAACTGATGCTTGATGCCATCTAGCTCCATAGGTTGGGAGTTGGAAGCATTGTTTTGCAGTAGTCCTTCTGTATCTCTCTTTCGGAATCAGGTGAAGCTGTGCAGGTCTTTTGCCAGTGCCTAGATGGCAGCAATAAACAGAAGTCGTATGCTGACAAGGTGGAGGCTGGGGGGATTCCTAGGTCCAAAAACTGGGTTCATGGCTTGTTGTGCATTCCTCCTAAAGGATCAAGTACGTAGCCTGCGTCTACTGCTTGATTCCACCCTGTCATTGGAGACTCTGAATTTGAAGTTCGCGCTGAAAACCTCTATTTTAATGGACAAAGGAGTGCCTTTACTCTCTATACAGTGGTACCTCAGGTTACATATGCTTCAGGTTACAGACTCCGCTAACCCAGAAATAGTGCTTCAGGTTAAGAACTTTGCTTCAGGATGAGAACAGAAATCGTGCTCCAGCGGCACAGCAGCAGCAGGAGGCCCCATTAGCTAAAGTGGTGCTTCAGGTTAAGAACAGTTTCAGGTTAAGTACAGACCTCCAGAACGAATTAAGTACGTAACCCGAGGTACCACTGTACAGTGCAGGACTTCTGAAAATCACAAAGCCAAATCTTTATCCATGTTTAATAAAACCAAGGCAATCCTGCATTGTCCATCACAGGGGTAGCCAACATGGTGCCATCCTGATTTTGCTAGACTACAGCTTACAGCTCTCACTGTTCCTGACCATTGGCCATGCTGTCTGGAGCTCATGGGAGTTGGAGTCCAACAACATCTGGAGGAGACCATGTCAGCTACCCTTGAGATTGTGAGTTCGCTTCCCAAGAAGTACTGCAAAAGCCCACCACTTCTCTTTTGTTAGGTGGGGGGGGGACTTTTTTTGTTAACCTGCAAAACATCATTCTAAAACCACCCAACACTTTTGTGAGTGTTTACAATCAAGGCTGTAGCTGACTCAGAACCCCTGAACTACAGAAAACTCTCTAAGAATCCTGTTCCTCAAGGCTGCCCAGTCTTTCAAGTGTGTCATTTGTTAGTTTTGCTGACAGACCTGCCTAATTAAATTGTTGGGAACTTCCAGCAGGGTCCTTGTTCTTGCACTGCCAAACCCCATTCCCTCTCCTTCTGGAGAGTGCATAAAAAAAGGAAAGATATTATAACTCCCTTTCTCCCTCTCCCTCTTTCTGCTTCTCTGCCTCACCTGCCAGTTTCCCAATTATCACTGCAACTCCTCCATCCTCTCACCTCAGAAGTTTTTTTATATATATATATATATAATATTTTATTAAGGATTTTCTTGTTTTACAGAAGTGTAGTGCCTCGTATCTTTTTTTTTTCATGTAACATTTTTACAAATCCATTTCATTTGTTGAGGCATTAGGGGGAGTTGAAGCAATTCATTGCAAGCTCCACTGCAGTCAACAACACTCCTCGTGGCTCTTTCTATCTCCTCTTCCCTCCTTTGGAAAGAACCTTTACAGTTAACTTGCTTTTTCATTATGGTTTCTTAATAAAACTCCATTTCCAGAAAACCTCTGATCTTGTCAGGAGTGCCTTACGTGGACACTCCGCTACCAAGATTAAAATGAAACAACTGCATCATGTATGCTTGGCGAAGCATGCTAGTTTGGGTGCCAGGTCTGTCACACCGACAGCATCCTGTCCTCTGGCGGAATAGAGCCAGGGTTGCAGTAGGAAAGTTTCCACAGCTATATTCTCCCCATGATTCGTTTCCTGGAATGGCTTATTTCCTGAACATGGAGAAATAATATGCAGATATGTGTTCTGAGCAATCCTCATAACGGAAGGGAGGAAAGGATGATATCCTTTTCATTTCATAATCAAGTTTTAACAGCATGAAGGTGTGTTGTATCCAGATGTCTTCATCAGGCAGGTTTCTTATAATGATAATCCCTAAAACAGAAAGTGTGTTCAGAATTGTTTTTCTTTATCAAGTTATATCACTCCATTCTATAAAATATTCAGAGTATTTTTACTCAAAGTTATTTAGTATTGGTTTTTTGAACTTCAAAGTATATTCCCACAACATTATTTCTTTATGCCAGATATGAAGAACACTTCACCCCACCCCACCCCTGATATTGTTGAAATGCAACTCTCATCATTCCTGACCATTAGCCTGGTGAGAGACAAATAATATTTTGTATTGGGGTGGGGGGAGGGAAGGTATCACAGGTTTCCCTTTCCTGGTTTAAACTCATTTAGCAAATAAAATAGACTTGGGTGCATTTCAAAATAGAAAGCAGGTGAACAGTTGGTATTAATGTAGATGCACATTTACCTTGTTATTTTTGTCCAGGCTATATGTGGACAGGCTGGATCTGGCCATGGTTCTTAACATATATTGTTGGCACCTATCTGTCTTGAGAGACAGTGGAGTGTGCCTCTAAGGGTGAAGTCATACCGCTGCATTAGCAGCACTGAAGCTACCTTTCCATAGTGTGCAAGCCTGGACATTATGTGTAGAGGACCTGGGCTGCTTAGACAACAATACCTCCCTCTCAGCCTCGCTGATGTGTTCCAAAGGAAAGCAGAGCATTTGGCACCATCTTGGCTGCAGGAGTTGTCAAAAGAAGGCATACAAGAGCGCCATCCAACCATCTTATTCCTGATTTGTGTTTACTCCTTAGCCTTTTCTTTTCCCGAAGTACTTGATTGAGTGTTCAGTTCTGTCCAATATGCACATTAATAACTAAATAGTCTTTTAGGAAGAGGACAAGAAGAAGATGAACTGGTGCACATTTGAAATATTTATTGGGAATGAGGTTCTGTGGGTTAAATGTTGTCATGACATGAGATAGAAACACGGATCTTTATGGGCAATATCATGTCTTGCTGTGTTAGTATTTATACAATGGATTTATTGACAATGACTCTTGTGTCAACATAAAATACAACTTGATTTCATTGTTGGTTTTACAAGGTTTCTGGAATAAAGGGGCCTTGTGGCTTTTCAAAGTCAGCAAGTGTGATTTGGAAAACAAACCTGCAACAAACCATTTTAGCTTAATGAGGCATTCTGTAGAAATAGCTGAGAAAAAATGCTGTACTTAAGTAAGCAAGTTATTAATGTGTCATTCATTTTTGACCTATTGCCTTATAACACCACCACTTTACTTTTTTTGGGTTACCACAATGACGCATGCTGAATGTGCTTCCAAATGGAAGGTAGGCTGCTTCAAGTAGGAAGCTAATGCTCACCTTCCTGAAGAAATTAAAGGACGGTTCCAAAGACTCCTATATTTAGATGTTCATAAATAGTCAGGCTTGTGCTGTATCTTTCATCCAAACAAAGGGAATCCTTAGTTCCTTGCAAAGGGCACAAGTTGATTTTCCTAGGCAAATGAATGTCATGGAGGATTGCATTAGGCTCTCAGTAGTTCTTTGACCTTATAAAAATTATGAGCTATGGAGTGAGGATGGCCTAGTAAATTCAAGAGCTTATACTATAGGACGTTATTAAATTGAATGAATGCTAAACCCATGAAACAGGACTGTCGACCAGTCAAAAAACTTGAGTTGATTAAGGTCAAGGTTCAGCAACGGAGGAGCTACAGGATTTGGAAGAAACGCCACTACCCTGGAGAAATATCAGATACACTGGTGAAACAGCTGGAGTGGGATGGAGTCATGGGTGGGAAATGAGTGGCATAGAAAAGGAGTACAGTCAACAATGATGAGTATGCGGGGATAAATCTGTCCATGTATTTGGAGTATCAATTCTGAGAAAGTTTGTGCAACAGAGTAAGCTTCTGATCTACTTGGTAGTCCACATTTTTAGGCTATCTGATACATGTATTCACTATTTTCAGAAGAAGAAAAACTGTTAAGTACCACAATAGAAATGTTGACATCCTGTCCTTCTGCAAGGAGAATGAGTAGAATGTACTTTCTTAAATACATCTAATAATTTATAAACCACATCAGCTTAAATTTTAAAGTGTGCAGCACATTGACTCATATTACTGCCTTGTATTTCAATATCGCTCTTATTTATGTTATCAGCAAATGAAACATGCCAGTGTAGAAAATGAACTTCCAAAGATTCAGTACTGGAGGAGCATTTATTTATCTGATGTGGCAGCAGAATTTAATTTTGACCTTTATTGAAATCGCCTCTATTTAATAATGTGAAAAAGATAAACAGAGAGGTTTCAAAGCATATTCAGGATATACTGTGGAGATTAACTCATTACAACAGGATCATAGTTTACAACACAAGTTCATACATGTCTGCACAAAACTAGCTCCCACTGGCAGAATGGCAGCTGTAATCCACTGTTTCAAGAGACTGCGGCCACAGTGGCATACATGAACCTTTTTTTGACTACAACACTTTGTTATGAAAGGAGTGAAGACCACAGGTCAA